ATATCTTATTTAAGGCTATATATATATATCTCTCTTATTTAATATATATATATATATATATCTCTCTTATTTAAGAGCTATATATATATATATCTCTCTTATTTAAGAGCTATATATATATATATAGCTCTTAAATAAGATATATATATATATCTTATTTAAGAGATATATATATATATATATATATATATTTGTTTATTATTTAAGAGCTATATATCTTATTATTTGAAGCTATATATATATGTATATTTGTCTTATTATTTAAGAGCTATATATCTTATTATTTAAGAGCTATATATATATATATATATTTGTCTTATTATTTAATAGCTATATATCTTATTATTTAAGAGCTATATATATATATATATTTATATATCTTATTATTTAAGATCTATATATATATATTTATATGTCTTATTATTTAAGATCTATATATATATATATATATATATGTATATCTTATTATTTAATATATATATATATATATATATATATATATATCTTCTTATTTAAAGCTATATATATATATATATATATATATATATATCTTATTATTTAAGAGCTATATATATATCTTATTATTTAAGAGCTATATATATATATATCTTATTATTTAAGAGCTATATATATATCTTATTATTTAAAGCTATATATATATCTTATTATTTAAGAGCTATATATATATATATCTTATTTAAGAGCTATATATATATATATATTTATATATCTTAATATTTAAGAGCTATATTTATATATTTATGTCTTATTATTTAAGAGCTATATATATGTGTTTTATATATCTTATTATTTAAGAGCTATATATATATCTTATTAAGAGCTATATACATCTGTATATATATATATATTTTATTATTTAAGAGCTATATATCTTATTATTTAAGAGCTATATAGATATATATTTATATATCTTATTATTTAAGAGCTATATATATATATATAATTATTTAAGAGATGTATACATATATATTTATATATCTTATTATTTAAGAGCTATATATATATAATTATTTAAAGATGTATATATATATATTTATATATCTTATTTAAGAGCTATATATATATATATAATTATTTAAGAGATGTATACATATATATTTATATATCTTATTATTTAAGAGCTATATATATATATATAATTATTTAAAGATGTATACATATATATTTATATATCTTATTATTTAAGAGCTATATATATATATAATTATTTAAGAGATGTATACATATATATTTTATATCTTATTATTTAAGAGCTATATATATATAATTATTTAAGAGATGTATACATATATATTTATATATCTTATTATTTAAGAGCTATATATATAATTATTTAAGAGCTATATATATAATTATTTAAGAGATGTATACATATATATTATATAATTATTTTTAAGTATACAATATATATATATATCTTATTATTTAAGAGCTATATATATATATATATATATATATAATTATTTAAGATGTATACATATATATATATATCTTATTATTTAAGAGCTATATATATATAATTATTTAATATGCATATATATATATATATATCTTATTATTTAAGAGCTATATATATATATATATATATATTATTTAATATATATATATATATATATATATATATTATTTATTTATTTATATATATACATATATATATATATATCTTATTATTTAAGAGCTATATATATATATATATATATATATATATATATATATATAATTCTTATTATTTAAGTGCTATATATATATATATATATCTTATTATTTAAGAGCTATATATATATATATATATCTTATTATTTAAGTGCTATATATATATATATATATATATATTATTATTTATTATATATATATATATATATCCATCTTATTTAAGTGCTATATATATATACATCTTATTATTTAAGTATATATATATATATATATATATATCTTATTATTTAAGAGCTATATACATATATATATATATCTTATTATTTAAGAGCTATATATATATATATATATCTTATTATTTATGCTATATATATATATATATATATATATCATTATTTAAGAGCTATATATATATATACACACTCACATACACACAAATCTTATTATTTACGATATATACACACACAAATAGTTATCCAATACAAAGCCTAAGAGCCACTCAAGGTAGAGGATTACTGTGTGATACTGTATAAGTGTAAGAAAAGGCAAAATAATGTTGATGGGACTATGGCAGAAAGTTAACAGTCAACCCTAGACTTGAAGAGGTCAAGATTGCAGTGATTGCCTCGAGTCTGTTCCACAAAGCTGCTGCAGTTTTTGGGAAGTAGCTGCATAACATTATGGAGCTGAGAATTAGTAATCTATGGCATTTTGGTAGACATTAGCCTATATGTACTAGTAGTCAATAGTATGTAGATAGTCATTATCCTACCAGATGCCCCAATTTTGATTATTACACCCCAGATATTTACATTTAATATTACATTAGTAATGACTGGCCATAATGTAAAATGTCTGGCAATCTTCAATGTATGGGTAAACATTAGCCAATCAGAACTGAAGTTAGGTTAACTATACACACTAATAGCCGATATTGCCTGGTAGAACATTAACATACTAGATGCAATGGCAGACTGGGTCTGAAAATATTGGTTGCCAGGTGACAAAGGGATATACCTACAACTGAAACGCTATCATTTAATTTTTATAATGGATAAATAAAATATTGAAAAAAAATTAAAAAAAAGAATACACTTAAAAATTTTTGTGGAAAAATGTGTATTTATTAGTAATTACAGTGTTTGTGTACTGTACATATTACTAGTAGAAGATACTAGATGTAAATACAAAATGTTATAATTTATTTTATTATTTATTTTCTTTAATTTTAAGTAATTGGTTGATATTTTTAAATAGTTTACTGCACAATTTACACATTAACAGAAAGTTCAAAATCACAATAGAGCATTGCATGCAGTCCACTATATTAAGAGTATTCATTTGTGTTCAATTGATGATTGTTTAAATCTGTCACTAATTGCTTCTGCATCCAATTCATCTAATATTTCCTTTTTCAATGGATAACAACATGTATAATTCCAAATTCTCCTCAAACAGCAAATTTCTTAACCTTGTCTTTATGATCATTAGCTTTGAAAATGTCTTCTCACATTGAACTTGAGTAACTGATAGTGTGCAGATGACTTTATAAAGTGCTTATTCTTTTTTTAGTACTAAACAGTTGTCTGTGTTTGTTTTCTTCATTGCATTTTTATTGGATATAGGGAGCCCACTCTATCCAGGGCTCACTTGCTATCAAACAAGCTGATACCCTCACCAGTCTGCCACTGACCAGATGTGTCACCTTCATCTGAACAGATTTTTTTCTCATTTGCTGCTTTTATTTATAATTTATTTTCCTTTTTGTTTTGTTTCCTTAATATTGCTGCAATTTTAATATACTTTAACACTCCATTCATGTCAGGCAGGTGCCATTTTGCAGCCCTCTCCTCACCATTCTTGTTTATTTTTAAGAATGCTTTTGTTTGGTTTGGTTTACAACATATCACCCTTAATGGGTTATTTAATGCTGACAATTTTTTTTATTGTTGGTAATATTTTCTTTCAAAATAAACTATAGTTGGTAATATTTTTTTTTTTTCTAAAAATGTATTGCTGGTAATAATTTTTAAAAAGTATTTCTGGTATGTATTAAAACCTATTTTTACACTTTCATAGTGTTTTCAACCCAGTTTAGGTGTCAACTATTTGCCCATAGCTGAGACCCTAACAGGTGCTACCGCCCCAGGTCAGGGTGGACCTCAGAACACCAGCAATTAAGAGGTGGTTCCATGCTCCTCAAAACCTCATGAACAAGAGGTCTTGCTGTTGGATGTAGTTTATCATCTTACCCAGGAAGAAGAATGCTTTTGTCTGATTAGTTTTAATTCTTCCTTAGATCCTTAGTTCCTGGTCTTTTTGCAAATTTCTTCGTTGAGTCTTCCAATAATGATGGGTAAAGTACTTATCTTCATTTTTATATATTTTTTTTCTTTGTTGTTATCCAACAAGGTCCATAGATTTTTCCAGTATTCATTCTGTGATCTGCAGCAAGATCCACAATCTGACGGATCGTTTCATTCCTTGTTATAATCCAATCTAATCTTCTAGCCTGGATCAAGTAAAATATTAAATTTTTTTTTCTTTTAATTTTTTGGTTCCAGTAATCAGTAAGGTCAAATCCAAATTGCACATTTCCAAGTTGCTTATCATTCCTACTCAATCATGTCTCCTTTTACACTCATCTCACCTAATTTGTTCACTTATATGATTTATTGCTTTGTTTTCCATTTTTTTTTAATCATTTCACCCCAAGCAAGGCAATAAATCCACTAAAACACAAGGGGTTACCAAGTGTAAAAGAAAAACATTATTCAAAAGCAAAAACAATAAAAGAAGAAAAATCAAGAAGACAGTAGATAATGGCTGAAATTGAATTTAAATTATTGAAGATCAAAGTTGGCTGGAAAGCAAGAATCTGGAAGAGAGTCCCACAGGTGAGAAGTGTGATAGAAAAAACTGTTAGCATAGAATTTACAGTTATATCTAGCCATTTCAATTGTAAAATGATGACACCTTGTCCTAATACTGTACTTAAATTCATGAAGTCTAGGTGCCATAGTGAAGAGCTCATCCGAACAATTACCATGAAAGTATTTATAGAAAAGGCACAGGTGAGTAGTTACTATTTACATTTTATTTTATTTTCCTCTTCCCAGGTGAGGGGATTACTTTCAATTCCTATCATCTTTCCTTTTGTACTAAGACTAAGTCTATTCCACAAGGTCAGAAATCACCAAAATTATAATAAGTAGTGAGTTCGTTAAATACAGGTACTTAACAGGGAAGAAATAACATGGTCAGTAATTAAGATAGAATGTTTCCAGGTCCAAGCCGTTATCCAGTACACCATCCACACATCCAAGCTTACAGCACTTGATATTCCCAAATGGTCACCCACCCTGGTACTGACCAGACTCAACATTGCTTAACTTTGGTGATCATATAAGAACCAGTGTTTCAGCATGATATGGCTGGAAGCCCAAACTCTCCACTGTACCTTTTCAAATATATCCACTAGTGCCGTCTCCTTACCATTCCCAAAATATATGATTTCTTCAGATATTTAATTCCTCACAAGTTTCATTATTTTTTTATGATATTTACCTCAGGCAAGGGAGTAAAGCCACTAAGATAGAAGGGAGTTACTGGATGTGAAAGAATTAGGAAAGCGGGGATTGGGAAAAGGACAGTCTTCTTCTGTCTTAACGATAACTTAGCTAGCCACAAACACTGACCCAATCATACAAACAATATTCCTTACACCAAAACAATACATTCATATGTACCTTTCTTACTAGATCCACTATAATACCTCACTGTCTCTATGAAAATACTAACTAGACCCCATATTTATAATTCATTGTCTGTGTGAGAGGGGGTAAAAACAACAATTCTAAAAACTAGCCGCAATGAGTATTTACAATATGAAACCAAAACTATTTACACGAAACTAAAGAAAATAATATTAGTAATAACTCGAGCTGCTATCCATTACTCGTGCCTCAACAAGATTTATTACGAATATAGCAACAACATATTAAAGTGCATATAACATTTATATACACGGTTCGATTGGTAAATTGTTGCAATATTATATTTATTTGAAATCTCTTCACATTAGTCAGTTATGTGCCATGTGTAATACATGCTTAGGTGATCGTGTATCTTTCGATACATAATTGATGAGGCAGATTTTTTTCCCGCAGTAGGTTGCCATCCAAGGCTATAGAACCCAGTCTGTCCTGCTATTTACCCATAGCTAGGGGGAGAAGAAGAGGATTCATACCTTTCCCAAGGGTATTAGCACATAAGTGAATGTAATGTATTCGACTGAAATTCAACACTAAAATAATGTTCAGAATATAGAACTGATTTTTGACGTCATCTGGGGGTTTCCCCCACCCTCAAATCCGTTTGAGGGTGGGGAAAACCAAATTTGTTTTGCTTATGCTAAGTCTTGAAAAAAAAAACACTAAAAATCACTATTTTTTTATCCATAATGTTGAATGTGTTAAAATTATTCAACTTTTTACCAAGAAAAATCTCAAGTTGATGTTAAAAATTGCCACAAAACATTTACTTAAGATTAAGAATTATGGAATGATATGACATGTCCCTAAAAATTCTAATTCGTATATAGTGTATTTATTTTAATCACTGTATTTATTTTCAATTTTTCTAGTTAAATTATTCACCTATATTGCCTATGATCCATTATTGTACATAATTAGGTTACAATAAAATTTGTATTTTATATGAATACTACCTTATGAAAATTGTGATGTAAGTCATTAAAGTGAGGGGCTCCATATCGTAGACTCAGTGGGTTGCTCATGAGACCTTTGCACCAGCCATGCTAAACATTTACACCACATTGAAGTACCCTCCTGTTTTTGTTTAGTGATTTAGAAAGTGTAGCTTATATCTAGCATAGGGCCTAAAGTATGGAGCACCCAGTGAGAATCAAACTCGACTACTCAGACGTAATTGATCTCTAGCGAGACGAGAATGTTAACCATTATTACACCATGTCGAAGTGCCCTGCTATTTTATGAAATATGCCCTGCTTTCTTGAATAATCTTTCTGTCTAACCTTTTTTTTTCCACAGTTCAAAAGTCTACAGCTGGTTGTCATTAATTAAATCAATGATTAAATAAATAAACTATTTTTAAACATGCACACACACACACACACACACAAAAAAAAAAATAAATAAAACAAAAACCATTTTCTAATGTCAACAATGTTTTCATTTTTCTTTTTTATTCAAAGAAGGAACTTCCAAAAATTAAATAAAGGTAGATTTGTGGGGAAGGTTGACTAAAAATTGAAAAAATATATTTCTGCATATATTTCTTATAAAATATTTCCAAAATTAAAATTAATCATTAATGAAAAAATAAAGAAAATTTAATTCAAATTACTTGAACTTTATAAATTTTTTTATTTTACTTTATATATTTTTAGGGTTAATTTACAGATTAGGACCCATGCTCAGTTTGCAATAAAATTTTTCTGAATACTTACATTTAAGTGTAAATGTACATGCTTCATTCAAAAATGACTTGATAAATTTAATAAAATCTACTGTTTTGGAGTTATCAACAGTAAAAGTTTGGATTCATTTGGGTCACGGCAGAATTTACTGATGTTGTTTGTATACATTTTCTGCAGAGTAGCTATGAGTGGAATATTCACTTGTCTTGATTATTGTGCACCCAATATAATTCTCTTATGCACTAATTGGGACAAGTTGAGATGAATAATACCGGTAAAAATAAGGCCATAAACCAAGTTCTTCCATGCTTAGTTTTCCGCAATGAATATACACAAACAATGCCAATAATGACTGCTGCCAACGACATGAATGAATGTGAATTTTACTGTTGAGGTTGGAATGGTGTAATACCAGTTTCAGCATGGTTGTGGAGGCTGGGCAAAAACCAATTTTTGTCTTTGGTGCATAAATATGCATATGGTATGCATATGGTGCTCAAGCAAGGTTCTAGTATTATTTTATTATTATAATTATTGAGTGATAGCCTCTGATTGAGTTTGTACTCAAGTATCGAGATGTAACACCCAAGTTAACTTGGTTGCCTTATCCATAAAGCTTAGAAAAACACAACACTCTCAACATGACGTTCCCCACAATTCTCACTTATGAACAGAGATGCGCTTATCATTATCAAAGTAAAAGTATTTGGAAAAAGAAAAAGAAACCTCAAACTTAGAAATCTAAAATAAACAGAAATCTATTTCTTATCATGTCATCTTAATCCAAAGAGTAAAATAGCAGGGTACTCTAGCCTTGTTTGGTAATCAATGTAGGAGAATAACTTTGAATTCAAAATTTCTGCTGCCGACTTAGAAGAAAGGCTTGGAGAGTAAACCCTGAATACAAATCTGGAGCTGGTATCCCTAATCCAGTCTGATCCAACCTTGTGGGATTATCCCATCTTGTTTGCCAAGAGACTTCTTTTAACACTTGCTACATGGTGGTGTATAAAAGCAAAAGGTGCAGACCTAATCTCTCTCTCCCTCCCCACAAGATGCCATGGGGACAAGACATGTCTCTTTTCTCCTCTGGGGACTTTTTAGTCCTCAAAGAATCATATTAAACACACTACACTATTTCCTGTTAAAATAAATAACCTCATAATATCTCTTCAACAATTTATTATATAAATATAAGGATTTTGTAAGCGTATATTAGACGTGGCACAAGGCTGAAAGTATGGGGCACCCAGTAAGGATTGAACTCACTACGATCTAGTGGGACAAGCATGCTAACCATTACAACATGTTGAAATGCCCCACTTATTACATAAATTATACATGTTGAGTGATAAAATGTCAAAATGGAAAAAATTTTATGCAACATGTTTCAGCCTTCACTAGGACTTCATCAGATTCACTAAAATAAATTTTCTTATTTTTATAAATATGCAGGGTTGCATGAGAGAACAAACAAAATAACAAGGCACCACTGGTGAGATGGAAAGAAAAGAAGACAAGAAATGTTAAGATAAAATTAATTGTATAGCTGATAGAGAGGATCAAGGTGGAATGTCTCTTTGTGGGTGAGGGAAGCAACTTGGAAGATGGGGAGAGTCAGTAGGGCCTGGAGTTGATGCTTGTGTTGAGTCGGTTACCCAAGGTCACTGATATTGATGATGTCAGCTCATGTGTCAACAGTGTCATTCTTAAAAGTAAATGGGGTGGATCATGACTCAGTACTTTTTGCCATGCCTTTTTCTATAGTAGCAATGTCCGTGATTAGTTTTATTCTTACCATTCACATCTGGCTGACAGATTTTGTTGTAGAGTGTATCAGAAAGACACCTAATTTGAAGCACAGTATAACATTATTGATGGAATATATATATATATATATATATATATATATAGAGAGAGAGAGCAGAAATATAAGTGAAAATGTCAGTTATAATTAATCAACAAGACTAACCATATGCAACACATTACTCTATCTCCTATTAGAAAAAAACTCATACAACCATAACAGTATTGTTTCAATAACTTACAAAAGGACTTCACCAGACTAAAATAATGTTCTTATTAATGGAATATATATACATAAAATTTTGTCTTGAAATTTCTCCAATACTGTTCTACATACCTACCTACCTACCTACATACATACAACTTTTTTTTTTTTTTATATATAACTCCCTCTTTTAGTTTCAACACCTCATTCTTCATATAACCCCAATTTAAGGTCATAAGTTTAATATCCGAGTTGATTTTGTGAAACCTCTTCCCTTTAAGACTGATAGCTCCTGCTTTCCCCTTACCAAAATTGGGCATTTCATCTGTCTGAGATGTTGAAACGGGTAGGTTCTGTGTTAATTCTTCGACTGCTGTCAAAGTTAAATTTTAAATCTCTAATTCCAACACGAACACAATCCATACACCGAGGTTGAATAAGACAAACGTAATCTGCATTGGTTGAAATGATCTATGCTCATGTGAGGTGATTTGGGATTTTGTCGTGTAATAATTATATATATATATATATATATATATATATATATCTCAAGGTTGTAGCAGGGAGGGGGCAAAAAATTTAGAATTTAGACTTAAATTATCAAAGATTGCCAACATGGTTAGCGACAAGAACATTTTAAATTTCCAGTACCTCTAGATTAACAGAAATCATCTTTGAAATAATAGAGAACTGTCTGTGTTACAAATGAATAAACTTCTTTCATCAGGGTTTTATGAAAGTTCATCATCATCCTTTGACGTCTCTGTGATTAGTTGGAACTCCATTAACAATCCCTTTCCATACTGCCTGGTCATGCATTGCTGTCCCTAGATCCCTAATGTCCTGAACCATGGTGTCTGGGGAAAGTCAACTTACGTGAGAAGACACCTCCAGAAGGATGCCATAGAAGAAAGGATGAGATGACCTACCAGTCAATTGCAATCATTTTCGTTTATGAGAAATTGG